TTCATACTGTCCAAGGACCTCGCGGCGACGCGTGGCCACTTGAGGTCAGTGCGCAAGCCAAGGTGACCGCGGCAAACTGACGCGCGACACCGCTAGGACCTTTCGTACACACAAGCTCAGGCTTGTGGACGCTCACAAATGTTGACGAATGTCACCGAGCTGACGACAGCTTGGTGCATTGCAGCATAGAAATACCAAGATATGACGTGGCAGCTCCTCGAGTCGGCGGTCCCACCTGGCGCCGTTTCATTGGCCATAACCTGAACGCCGATGGCGCATCCCCACAGCACGCCCAAGCGATGAAAACCACCGGCGTCGACTTGCATGCAATGCATGCAAGCAATCATGTATGCGCGCCCGCGCAGTAGTCGTCGTAGGGTCCAAAACCTCTGAGATCCGATCCAACCCCAGGATTCGAGAAGCTTCGGCCGATATCCAATCTGAGAGGTTTCGACAGGCGACCGTTGACGCCGGGAGCCATTTTCAGCATCATGGCCGAGGAAGCCAAGCTCCGCGGGAACCGGTTCTTCACGGCCGGCCAGTACCAGGAGGCCGCCGACGCCTTCACCGAGGCCATTGGCCTCGAGCCCTCGAACGCTATCTTCTACTCGTACGTAGCGGCGTGACATCATGCTGAGGCTCATGCACATGGCAGGAACCGATCGGGCGCGTACCTCAAGCTCAACCGCGGGCCGGACGCAATTGCGGATGCGAAAAAGTGCATTGAGCTCCGGCCCGAGTGGCCCAAGGGCTACTCGCGTCTCGGGACGGCGCTCTTTTACGTCAAGAAGTACGCCGAGGCCAAGGCGGCGTACGAGCGCGGCCTCGCCAAGGACCCGAACGACGCCAACCTCCTCGACGGCCTTCGCAACACCAAGGCGCAGCTGCCGGACGCGATCTCGCTCCAGGAGCTCACGATGGCGTCGCCGCACGCCAAGTTTCGCACGTTCCAGTTTGGCCTTCGGTGCCTCATGGCCGCGTCCTTCGTGCTCTACTGGACGGCATGGGGCAGCGCGTCGACGGCTGCGTTTGCGTTTGCGACGTTCTTCAAGCTCGGCGCTGCCAACTATGCGAGCTTCCTCGCGTGGAACCACGGTAAGCCGCAGATGAACGCGGCCTACGCGCAGCGCGTCGTGACGGACCCGACGACGCAGGCGCTCATGTTTTGTCTCCTCTTCTGGTTCTCGAGCCCGTACTCGATCGCGCTGCTGCCGATCGCGCTCAACGAAGGCGTGCACTTTGCGTCCTTTGCTGGCTCGCTCTTTCTCTCTCTCGGGTCGTCGGTCGGCGCGACGTGCTTTGCGCTGCTTGACCCGATCATGCCCTACTACCTCGGACCGCAGACCGCGTGGCACACGCTCAACAACCACGGCAAGTGGGCTGCGCTCTACCACCGCACGCCGCAGGTGGTGGCGAATCTGGACGTGGGCATTGGTCTCTGCCTCATCCTCGAGCTGCTCACGCCCGCGCGCAACTTTATGCTGCTGCTCATCTACTGGCAGCTCCTGCGCATCCGCTACATGATCTCGCCGCAGCTCAAGAACGCGTTCAGCCAACTGGACACGACGCTTTCGGCGCTCGTGCTCCACCCGCGCGCGCCGACGCTCCTCGCGACCGGCTACGCGAAGCTCAAGGACCTCATGGCCAACATGGTCAAGATGCCGACGCCCGAAGAGGCCCAGCAGGCGTCGGCGATGCCCAAGTGCTCGATCATGTAGCTATCACTAGAAATCCATCGTCTTCTCTACCGGAAACGCCACATCATCATCCCACATTACGCTCCATTCCAGTGGACCAGCTCCTCCTTGATGTGATGCTAGACAAGTGTCAAAGCACAGGCAAAGCATCGATCAAAGCGATCGTCATGCAGCAGATTCTCCCGCTTTGCCAGCACATGCAGACAGGTACCGTGTGCGTTCACCAAGTCGCTGCGACCTTGGCATCAACAGCGTGCTGGACCCTCGCTCCTTGGACTCTGTTTCGGCGCCGCCTTGAGGGTATGGGGTTAAAGGAGTTTCCGTTCAAGCGTCGACGGATCGTAGTTGAAACGGCAAACATGCGGCGGGCCGACAACAGCGGTCTTGAGCTCCCGACCGCCAACGACGTCGACGACCCAACGTCGGAGGTCGTCGAGAAGCCGCCGCCGATGCACGCGCGCTGGCTCTACCGCCTTGACGCGTTCATCTCGCGCAACGACGGCCAAGCCATCGTGCTTGTGACGCTCTGCATCCTCTTTGCGTGCAGCCTCGCGCCGTTCGTCGTCTGGACGAGCGGCTTTAGCTACGCCAACGCAGCCTGGCGGGTGTGGACGTACATGGCCGACACGGGCTCGCAAAACGAAGCGGTCGAGTGGGTACGTCGAGGCTTCTCTTGGCGGTCTCACCCAGCAACATATGTATGGTCCAAGTAGCCCGAGCGCGCCGTTGCGCTCTGTGCGACCTTGCTCGGCTTTGCTTACTTTGCCGTCGTCGTCGGCTTCGTCGTCGACGCGATCCGAGAGAAAATGGAAGTCCTCAAAGAAGGCCGATCTCAAGTCGTCGAGTTGGGCCACACGGTGCGTCTCTTGTCCATCTTTCTATCTCAATCATATGACGATATTGGACACAATACTACGATGATTAGCTCATGCTCGGGTGGTCGGACAAGTCGCTGTCCTTCTTGAAAGAAATCTGCAACGCCAACGAGAGCGAAGGCGGTGGCACGGTTGTCGTGCTCGCCGAAGACCACAAGGAGGAGCTCGAAGCGCTCATCGACACCCAAGTCGGTCGCAAGGCTTGATACCTAAAAGTCGTCATGTGCATATTTGACGTAGTTGACCAAGCGGCTTGGCACGCGCATCATCATTCGCCATGGGAGTCCGCTCATCATGGCCGACTTGCTCCGCGTCGGGGCGCCCCATGCGCGAAGCATCTGCGTCATGTCGACTGATGCAGATGCCAACAAGTCGGATTCGAACCTGCTGCGCGTCATCTTGACGTTGCACAACTTGCCTCAAGTACGCGAATATGCCAGACTGGTCCAACGAAGTTATGACAATATTGTGGTCTGTAGCTGACTGGGCACATTGTCGTCGACATGTGCGACGGTGACAACGAATCGCTGCTCGAGCTCGTGGGTGGCAGCGTGCTCGAGACGGTCGCGTCCCACGACATCATTGGCGAAATGATCGTCATGTGCAGCCGGTCGCCGGGCTTGGCCAACGGTAGTTCACTTCATCAACCTATTTGGTTTACACAGAAATGGACAATATGTCTGCTAGTCTACGCCAGCCTCCTCGGGTTTGGCGGCAATGAATTTTACATTGAAAAATGGCCCGAGTGTGACGGCATACCCTTTGGCGAGCTCCATGCGCGCTTTCTCGATGCGATTCCAATTGGCATTCAAGAAGTGAGTGGCCGTGTCGTCATCAAGCCCGCCAAGAACCGTCCAATGGCGCCCGGCGAAGGCGTCCTCGTGCTCGCCGAAGACAACGACTCGTACAAGGCCGCGCTTCCCGTGCCCATTGACATGGGGGTGCCGCTCCTGCTCGAGCGACCGCGGACGTTGCCTCAGCGCATTTTGATTGCGGGTTGGCGCCGCGACATTCGCAACATGCTGCGGCTCCTCGACAAGCTCAGCGTCGCCGGTACAACGTGTCAACATCAAGAGGTTTTTGAAAAGGACGATGTAGGCACGGTCGTCGTGCTCATGAACGACACGCCGGTCGCCGAGCGCAACGCGACCTTCTTGGACGAAGGGTTCAACGTCGATAGTCTCACCAACATCTCAGTCCAGCACCACGTGGGCAACCCCGCGGTGCGGCGCCACGTCAATACGCTCGACTTGGCGGAATTTGACGCGTACATGGTCGTCGCCGACATGAACCGCGAAGTCAACATTCTCGACTCGGACTCGCACGTGCTTGCGGCGGTCCTTACGATCCGGAGCTGCGAAGACGAGCAACTGGACAAGAAGGGCCAGCAGTACCTCGCCAAGAGCGTGGTCCAAGGCGTACGTTGGCGCGGTATATTTTGCATTCAAAATGGCCAGGTAGGTGCGCGCGCTGGCACCGCGGCACTTTACGCCGTGCATCGCCGAGGTCCTCGACCCGCGCACACAGCGAACGATCGACTCGAACGACCGCGTCCAGCACAGCAGCGACTTTATCCAGTCCAACCACCTCGTACGGATACGATAGCGTCTTGCTCGATCGTTGCCAACGAGGGAGTAGGTCTCGCAGATGATTGCGATGGTGTCCGAGAACCGTCTGGTTAAGGGCATACTGGCCGAGCTCTTGGGCGACCGCGGCGCTTCGTTTGACGTCGTCCCGTCCAAGAGGTCCCTCCGTGGCTCGGGTAGAAAGGGTACCTGAATGTTGGGATGCGTAGATTTTGCCGCCGGCAAGAGACTCTGAGTTTGTTTCAAATCGCTCAGCGCGCGCTCACGGTCGCGGACGAAATTGTGTGTGGCTACCGCAATACGGCCGGGACGCAGACCTTTGTGCTCAACCCGCCGCACAAGACGTGGGTCCAGACGTGGGACGAGTACGAGTTCATCGTCTTGCGCGGCAACGACCGTCAGCGCCAGATCGACGTGGCGACGCGCGTCACAAATACCTTGACGCACCATTTGCGGCGGTCGCGCTTCCGTGATTTCATGCGCCAGCACTCGTTTGAAGAAAAGAAGCCGCCGCCGACGAGCACCGAAGCGCCCAAGCAGGTCGCCTTCAAGAGAACCCTCGTCGCGAGCCGCCTCTACGATCTTTGGGCCATGACCGAAGAGCTCTCGACGATGGTGCGCGACGGAGTGTTACCAGACGACGTCTCGCGCGAACTCATCACCGAGTATTAGCACTTTCTTCTCGACATATATTGCATTGGAGTTACTCTACTAGCATGCCACTTGAAGTTGACACATAACCTAGCCGCTAGCAAGGGTCAATAAACAGGTTACTGTTTATTAAACCTTGCCGCTAAGGACTGCATCGTCATTCATGGCGCCGTGGCCTCCGCCGCTCGGCGCCACGTCGGAGTGTATCCGTGTCGTTGCACAGCGTCCGTAGCTGTGCAAGAAGGCCTGCAGGAGGTTTTCGAGGCAAGGTTGCCGCGAGGGGCTGCTTCGTATTCCATTCAAATCGAAGATTCCCGCATTATTGTCGAGGTGGAAGCTTTAATACATTTTATCCCGATGTGCTGGTGAAGTGGCACTGGTGAAGTGGGCCAATTCTTTGGCGGATGGGTTGGCGTCAGAAACTAAGTCGCTGCAGCATGGCTTTGGTATAGGCCTTGATATGCTTGGACGCATCCCATTGGCCATTGGATGTTGGGAAGGATCTGTCATTGGCCCATTCTGCCCTGTCACGCGGGAAAGCGATGCGCCGCGCACACTACCTCGAGGCGATTATGGCGCTCCTTATCGTGGCCCACGAGGCGGGTACGTCGTCGACGGCGTTGCGAACAGTGCTCAAATACAGCGCTTGACATGGATAGGTGCGGCTAGCTCGCTCGGAACGCTGCTTGGCTGCACATCTCGGCACGTCGACTGCTGCCTCTGGACCGGCCCTGACGGCAGCGCGGTCTCGTCACGACGGTTGCTTCAAGATCTGGAGGCGGCGCATCCACAACTCTTCCAGCAGGACCGAGCGCTTGATCACATGCAGTCGGTCGCGTCCAATTACCAGGGTACGCCACCATTTTCCCGTCCATCCACCTCAAGGATACGAGATCTAGCTTCGGGTCGCGTACCATACCGAACCGGTCTCTCGGTACGGCACCTCAGCGTTGGTCGGCGTCTTGACGCAGCACCTTGGACACCTGATTCCATTCAACGTATACCTCGACGCCTCGAGCACCTGGCACCGCTGCATTGGTGCAAGCCGAATATGAATCCGCTCCAGAAGAACGTGTGCAGCACCATCAAGTCGCAACACGCGTGCGGCAGCTGCTGGGCGTTTGCGTCGGCGACCGCCATCGAGACGTCGGCGGCGATGCGCGCGCATTCCGTGCCCAAGCTCTCGGTGCAAGAGCTATTGGACAGCAGCCGCGGCAACATCTCGGCGACGATGAACTACTGCTGGCTCACGCCCGAGCGCTCGGCCGCCGCGCCCTGGCTAGTCCCTCGTCTCGTGTGGCGAGCGCGCAACGATGGCTGTGCCGGCGGTATGCCGTTCGGTGCCTTCGATTACGCCACGACGCACGGCATCTCGACCGAGTTTCATTGGCCGTACACCAGCGCTGCCACCCCCAGCGTCGGCGGCAGCAGCGCCCCCGTTGTCAAAGTGCAAAGCTGGACGCAAGCCATGGGCCGCGATTGCAACTCGAGTGCCGACCCAATCGTGATGCTGCAAAGAGCGTTGCGGACGCAGCCATTGGCCGTCATCATTGTGTCGTCGGGCGGCTTTGAGGCGTACAAGGGCGGCATCTACGTGTGCCCGAACAACGGAACGATCGCGTCGTCGAAAACGGTCGACCACGCGCTTCTTCTCGTCGGGTACGACTACGACCCGAATCTAGGTTTGTACTGGATTTTGCAAAACTCGTACGGCGTGGACTGGGGCGAGGCCGGCTACATGCGCCTTCTCGCCGACGACAAGCTCAACTGCGGCTTGAACCTCATGCCGTTGGCTGTGACCGCAGACGTTTTGCAGGTTCCCGACGAGCATGTCGATAGCAACGGTGTCGTTTGGAGCTTTTTAAGCCTCGATGCCGCGGCCTGGGTCGCCTCGCTTGTCGCAGTCGCCGTCCTGACGCTGCTGGCTACCATCGCTGGCGTCCTTCGATCGCGACGACCCGCCAAGGCGCACAAGAGTTTGGGCGAGCATTTAGTCTTGTAATTTTGATGTTCAAAAATATAGTAACTTGTACGTATATATGATCAGCACATATGCAGTGGTGTAGCAGGAGGAGCTATCACACGCGACCAAACAAGGTGGCAAACTGGTCAAACGAAATCCCAGCTGCGGTTGTCTTGGTCGCGCCATTGGCGGAGCTCGAAAAGAGAGGAAGCTGGCCAATGATGTCGCTGTTGTCGCGCTCCCGAGCAACGAGGTGCACCAAGTCGTCGTACGTCACGACATTGCGCATTTCGTGCATCGTCGCATCCACGTCGGCCTTGGACAAGACTACAATCAGAAAACGTCATGTACCGCGATCGAACATGACGCACCGCTGTCACGATCGGCATCAAAAATGTCAAACATTTCTCGAAGCTCAGCGACGGCCTCGGGCGGCAGCGTGGCTTGCACGCTGTGCTGCGCTTTCGAGAGTCGGCGCTGATGGATCTCTTGCTCGACCTATGAGGTTGTCATAACTAAAATACTTTATTTTGAAGGCTGGTCGTACCCAAACGTTGATGATGCGCACTTGGTAGGCTGTCAAGGACGGGAACATGGACACGAGGAGCTCGTTGAACGTAAGTCGTCCATTGTGGTCTAAATCCAGCGACCGAAACCAGTCGCTGCCGTACTTGCGGAGCTTGGACGGCAAACTACGCCTCGGTGAGGGACGCCATGGGATGTCGCGCGCACTGGCTCAAGAATTCTTTCAAATCGATTTCGTTGCTTTTGTCAGCGTCACAGCGTGAAAACGTTGTGTGCAGCTCCAGAATCTAGTCGACGCCTAGTCGACGACATTATAGACAAGTTGTGCATTATTACCGTGTGCTTGGAGCAGATCATGTGAATGCGCGTCTCTTCATTGTGCATGGTACGCTTGGTGAGGCGGCGCATGGCCGTGCGCCGGGTCGTCGGCTTGCAGGGCGTCAACGGTGGCATAGGGCTCGTCACAGCCGTGGGCGCAGACGTGCGGGTCTCATCGACCTTGCTGAGCTTGGGCAGCTTGTGTCGGTCGCAACTACGCACGCACCACACTCTTAACGCTACGTAAAGGGGTGGATCGACGGACGGAAATATGGGAATTTCGGTCACGTGCTCGCTAAAGAGGTCCAAGCCCGAGTCGTCTGTCGAGTAGTCGTGAAAGTGACTTCGCAAGCGGCAAAAATGAGGGCAGTGCTGCAGGAGCTTGGTCACCGCGGCCGCGCTACCATCAGCACACGCTCGCAAAATGTTCATGAACTACCATCCAGGTACGCACTCGATCGTCGCGTCGTACTCGAATTTGAGTTTGGAAAAGATCTTGTCGTACACACCGGCAGCGACCGCCTCGGACAACAAGGTTCCTACGCCCACCAAATATGTTGAAGCAAATCATCGGTCCTATCGTCTACCGCCCGTGAGCAGCGCGAGGCCATTGAGAAGATCGTGCAAGAGTGTCAGGAGCTCGGCGCTCGAAATACGTGTGCACGGCGCAAGGTTGAAGAGACGCAAAGCGTGCTCGATCGTATCGAGCGTACTGAGCTAGACCCAAGGCTCAAATTTGATGTTGCACATTGCGAGGTACGACCTTGGAGCAGAGGACGACGGCGAGGAAAGCTTGCTGCAATGTGGCGACGTGCGTTTCGCCGACGCCGACGCTGAAGCGGCCGCTGACGCTCACTTGTGCAAACACGTGGAACGCGCCGTCGTCCTTGGGGCGGTCGAGACCAAAGATGGAGCAAAACTCATCGATCGTGCTGAACGAGCTGTGTTGACCCTAATGCGAACAACGCTCAGAGTCTGGCATGACAGTCGCATGGAAACCTTGTGAAAACGAAGTCGGAGCGCGTGGATCTGGCCGAGCGTCCACCCAACGAGTGGCAGCCCCGACGTCAGCACGTCGGGGCTGATGTACTTGGACCTAAGCAGAGATGACATAGGCGCTGGGTATCTATATTACAGCGAGCGCGTACAGGCGGGCGATGCGCAGCGCCTCGCTTTGCATGGAAATGACCGCAATGTTGCCCATGGCTGGCCGCGTGCAATGCACTCCCAGAACCGTTTTCCTATTTTGAGCCGAGTCCCTGCCAACATAGTAGTTTGTTGTACAAACATTCGATTGATTAAGAACATCAGCTCGTGCTCATGTTGTCGTCGACTTTGTGCTTCCAGATAAAGCCGAGGGCGTCGAGTTCGGCGCGGCGATTCGGGGGACAAATGTCTTCGCGTTCGCGGAGGTTGGTGACAATGTACCCGAGCTTTGTGCCCCAAAACTCTGTCGGCCAGCGCGCGTCATTGGACGGCACCATGTACGAGTAGCGCACGGCCACATCGCCGTGAATTTCCTTGTATTTTGTGAGCACTTGGATCCGGAAATTCCAATTTTCTTCGTAAAAGTGCCACACAAAGCCCATAGCATCGAGCTCGGCCTCGCGCTCGGGCGGGCAAATGGCGCGGCTCTGCCGGATCGTGTTGACGGTCGTGCCCAATCGGTGGTGCCACAGATCTTCGGGCCACACGCCCGGCTCGGTCGGCACGACAAACGGCCCGGGCACGAGCACGTGGCCATAGAGCTCCTTGTAGCGCGTGAGCGCGGCCATGCGGATGCTCCACGTGTTTTCCGAGCAGTCCCAGACAAAGCCCATGGCATCGAGCTGGAGTTTTCGCTCGGGGGGGCACCCCTGGCGGTTTTGGCGAATGGTGACGACGGCGACACCGAGGCGGTTCCCGCCCATCTCTTTGGGCCAATTAGGATCGTTTTCAGGAATGACAAACGAATGAGGCACGAGGACGTCGCCGTGGAGCTCCTTGTATCTGGTGAGCGCGGCCATGCGCGCGTTCCAGAGGTCGTCGTACCAGTCCCAGACAAACCCAATGGCATCAAGAGCAGTGCGGCGCGGTGCTGGGCAGTTGTCGCGGCCTTGCTTGCGCAGCCGCGCAACCACGAGTCCGAGCTTGAGGCCCCACGCGTCTTTGGGCCACTGCGGGTCCGTATCCGGCACGATAAAGTTGCGGACCACGAGCAAGTTGCCATGTAAATTCTTGTACGAGACGAGCGCCTCGAGGTTGCGCGACCAGAGGTACTCGTGCGGCGCCCACACAAATTTGAGGCGATTCAAAGCTGCGACGACGTCGTCCGGGATATGGCCGCGCATGAATTTGCGCCGCAGCTCCGAGACGTCGAGCGTGTACCCGTGCAAGCGCAGCGGAAAGGCGTCGTCGATGGGCACGCGGTACTTGGAGGGCAGGTACGTGACGCTGGAGCGCGGCGCCTGGAGGTCGTGTTCGATGCGCACGATCTCGAGCATGTTGCGGTACGCGGGCGGGAAGCTGCTGCTGCTGCTGCGCCAGCGCTGCGTGAGGACCCGGGCGCGCGCCAGAAACATGTCGACTCCCACGAACCGCGTTTGCAGCCAATCAGCGGCCTGGCGATTCGAGAAAAACGGTATTTTCACGAAAAATACCGTTTTTCTCGAACGGCGACGGTTGTCGGGCGTCTCGACGACGAGAATGCACTGGGACAGCCGCTTGGAGATGCAAGATGAACATATTAGCGTCTATCTATCTATCTATCTATCTATCTATCTATCTATCTATCTATCTATCTATCTATCTAAGGTAAAGTGGCGATTGACCGACCGATTTTTTGTCGAAAATGAGGCCTTACTTCAAAATGATATTTCTCGACAACCAATGCAGCTACGAGACATCTGAAGGCATCACAATAAAGAAGAAGGCTTGCTCTGTATTTTAGAGCCCTTGCCTTCGCGCCGTCGCGTGATTCCTGATTTGTGGGGAATTTAAAAGTCGACACTTAGAAAAAGCGTCAGAATTGGATGTTTCTATTGACCGACCGATTGGCTTGTACTTTCTGTTTGTATGCATTCTAAAAAACTGTGAATTAAATCACGTTATTTTCCTACTTCAAGGCTGCTCGGCGTTTTTTGTGTGGAAGCGATGAGACGGCAATTAAAATACGATTATTTTTAATAGCACAGCGCATATTAATACTGTCGTATTATAATAAATACTCCTTGGACTTCGTCACAGACTTCATTTTCTTCAGCGCCGCGCGGCCGCAATGTCCAGGTCTCCCTCCACATTCGTGCCATGTCGAGTCCGTCGCGGTGCGCTGGCGCTGGCGCTCAAGTACCCTCGGTGCCGAAGGTTTGAGAGGTAGAACAAACACCGCGGTACGGGCGAGCTCATGTACCTTGATCCATTCACGCCTCGGTGCCGAGGGTCGACCGCGCGCCGTTGACCGCCTGCTCCTCCACAACAACGATATCGCCCGTTTGCTTCATCATCTTGCTAGTAGCGCTTGAGCTGGGAGAGGCTCAAGGGTGAGCTGCGCTCTATTGTGGCAATCTTCTTGCTGCCGACGAGGTGACGGTCAACCGTGAAACGTGTGTGAAGCATGTTGAGCAATGAGGCTGACGGCGGCCCTCCGTCAGCTCGCGCGACCCATCCTGTTCCTGCTCGTGCTCCCAACTTCAACCGGGAAATTATTATTCTGACCGTACAATATTATTGCAAAAAAATGCACTGCGGGGTCCATTTGGAGGCTCTTTTTTTATTTCAATCATCATTATTATTGTAGCCAATGAAAAACGGCGTCTCCAATTTCCAACGTTTTAATTGGCCAAAAGTCGAAATCGGTCGGTCATTAGAAACGGTCGGTCAATCGCCACTTTACCTTATCTATCTATCTATCTATCTATCTATCTATCTGTCTATCTATCTATCTATCTATCTATCTATCTATCTATCTATCTATCTATCTATCTATCTATCTATCTATCTATCTATCTATCTATCTATCTTGCTAGCTAGCTAGCTCGTGGTAAGCTTGATGGCGTCCAGTAGCGAGGTACGT